CAGTGGAGGAGGAGGAAGAGGAGGAGGAGAAGGAGGCAGGGGAGGTGGAGGCGGAGGGGCAAGAGTAGGAGGAGGAGGAAGAGGAGGATGAGGAGGAGGGGGCAGGGGAGGAGGAGGAGGAGGATGAGGAGGTTGAGGGAGGAGGAGGAGGAGGAGGGGGAGTAAGAGGAGGAGAAGGCGTACGAGGAGAAGGAGGAGGAGGAGGGGGAGGAGGAGGAGGAGGAGGACGAGAAGGGGAGGACGAGGATAAATAGGAGAAGGAGGAGGAGCAGGAGTAGCAGGAGGAGCGGAGGAGGAGGAGGAGGAGGAGGAGGAGGAGGAGGGCAGGAGGAGGAGGAGGAGGAGGAGGAACGTTGGGGTGAACGACGGCGAATGTCGAAGCTCCTCTCGATTACTGCTGCAGGTCGACGATGGCAGCAACTCTGACCGACTTCGGCGGCCCGCTGGGGTGGGGGTACCCCCCCGTCTGAATTCTAGCTAAGTTCTGCCTCCCCTTCGTTGTGTGTGGGGGGGGGGGGGGGCGCACCTCGAAACCAAATGCCTGGGGTCAGTCGTGGCTGTACGACCGCACTTGGAGCAACACGTCAGATGAAATTGCCCCCAATGCTGGAGGGAATGGGGATCGTGCAAGACCTGGCCCCCGATGACTCGCCTCCCGATCAAAGGGGCTATACCGAGTTGGGGGGGCGGCCTGGGTACACGCCGTGTGGGCTGCCAAGGGGACGCGCTCTCTGTTCACGAACACCTGACAAGCCCTGCAATAAAACTTGGGGCCGACCCTCCGCCAGTCGTGCTGGGGCGCTCTCAAGGCCAGCTCGAGCTTGGGGGGTCGAACGGGGCGGGGGGCCGAGGGACGCGCAGCGGTCCACGGATCGGCCTGGATCACATCCGCCAGGGCTCGACGCGCCCGCCTCCTCACTAGGAAGGCTTCTATGTCTCGCTGGTCCGTGGCGGGAACGGCCGTGGCGAATTCGGACCAAGACGACGCCGCCGCTCTGCCCGCCAGCTCGTCCGCACATGCATTACCTACCGCCCAGAACCACCCCCTTTCAGTCCTGATGTCCTGGGCCTCCACGTGGGAGGGGGTCCAACCAACAAGGATGGGGTCGGGACCTCGCTCGCGCGCAGCCTTGCCGATCCTGGCCCAGCGGTCGGCATTGCCGAACCTGAGCGGCCCCGACTTATGCCGACCTCTGGACCAGCCATCCACGAGGGGCTTATGATCAGACACAAACCTCAGGGGCCTTCTGGAGCACCCGAGAGCTCCGCGCGGGGGACAGCCTGCTTAGCCCCCGCGACCCCGCAAGCAACACCCGCCACGGGGCGCCAGGCACCTGCTGAGAGAGCTTCGAGGGCCACGATCCCCGAGCCAACGCGCCTTCTGCGGGGGTCGTCGGAAAACCTACCCCCTGACCCATCTCCGAACACGGCGAGGTAGCCGTCTTGGCCCCTCGGGGCCAGGGAGAAACTACCGAATTCGAAGCGGCAGGGAGGGAGGTCGAGGTCGAGGGTGGGGGTGGTCTCAGCCTTGCCCGGGAGGCCTCGCAGCCACAGGGGCGGAGACGATTCGTTCCCTGCCTCCGCACTCGGCAACCTATGACCCGACTTATCATAATCTGGGTGTCCTGCGTTGCACTCGCAAGACCATATTCTGTGAAACGAACTCTCTTTCTCCTTACCGCATCGCACGCACAGCGGAGACTCGAGCTCGTACCACGCACAGCGGAGACTCGAGCTCGTAGCCCGCCTCCGCCTGCCGCTCTATGGTCCACTGGGCGCCTGCGACGACAGCCAGGTTGAGCGCCCAGAGGTCGTCGTCGCCGATGGCCTCGAAGCGCCGCTGCTCCCTCTGCGCGTGGGGCGCGTCGGCACCCCTCGCATCCAGGTCGTCGCCGCTCTGGCGGAGGGGGGCGCACGCCCACAGCCTGCAATCGATGCTCTCCTCGAACTCGTCCAGCAGCACGGAGGGGCTGGCGAGCAGGTCGCCGAACTCGGGGCTCGACGATGGTGGGGGGCGCCACTCGGCCTCCGAGTCGGTGATCCACTGGTCTGGGCGAGGGGCGCCCCACCCTGCATCGGGGAGGGTCGCCACCGTCGCCGACAGCGGGCCTTGCACCAGCCGCCAGCGCTGGGCCCCCGCGGCCTGGAGACGTGGGGCGATCTTCGCCCACGAGCGCTCGATCCTCGGGTGGAGCTCAGGATGCCCGGCCCAGAGGTCAAACCAGGCCGCCAGCTGCTCCCTCGGGATCGTCTTCACAGGGTCGGCGCGGCCGTAGGCGACCGCCAGCGTCGTGGTGAGGCAGCGCCCAGGGCCCTTGCCAGCCGCTGCCCTCGCTGCCTGTCTCTTCAACCTGAGCACCTCGTAGTGCGGGAGGCCGTGCGCCTGGTGGCCGTGCGCGCCCTCCGCCTTGGCGCCCGTTCCCCAGAGCCCGCGCGTCACCTTTTTGAAGCGGGCGTGGCGCCTCATGCGCATGATGGCCCCTGCTCTGCGGGCGCCGCTCTGCATCCGTTGCCTGCCCCGCAACCTGTTGCGAGATCGAGCGGCGTTGCAGTCCACCCCAGGGTCTGTGAACCGCGTCTTCGCAGTGGCGGGGATCCCATTCTTCCTGAGGCCTCGGGCGATGTCCTCGGCCAGGCGGGTGGTGCTGGCCACAGCCGTCGTCTTTGCCGATATGTCTAGTCCAGCCTCCTGCATGCTGCGGCCCAGCTCGGTGGTGCTTTCCACAACAGTCTGCTTGACCACGGCAGGCGTGCTCTGGGCGCGCAGCACCGTGTCGTCCACGTACGTCCAGAGGCCGATGCGCGCCTGGTAGTTCATATGCGCTCGATGCAACAGCGGGCCCAGGAACGCCTTGGCGAGCGGGACCCCGTGGGGCGATCCCGCCACGAGAGAACGCCAGGGTGTGATCTCCCTGCTGAGCCACTTCCTATCCTTCAGGAAACGGGGCGCCAGGAACATCTGCAGCTCCATACATAGCACAATCGCTGGGAACTGCTGGCCCAGCGCGTGTCGTACCAGGACTTGGAGGCTGATGCTGTCGTAGAACTTGGCCAAGTCCAGCAGCACCGTCGCACTGGATACTCCCAATGTCCTGGCTGCCTCGTCCAAGCAAGCTCTCAGGATGGACGCCTGCAGCGCCGACGAGCCCGCGATAGCGGTGTCCCAGAACTCGCCCAACTCCTCGCTCCACTGCGCCGTCACCGAGCCGCGGAGCTTGCTCCAGGTCTTCATCAGGAAGGGGAGCTGGCCGAGGATGCGGTCCCAGCCTTTGGCCTTGGGGACCACCGCGCCCAATGTGCCGAAGATCTGTCTCGGCCAGACACCGTGCTCCTCGATCGCATTGAGGATGTTCACCATCTCAGCTCGGCCCTCCTCAGGGAGCCTCTGGACCTCCAGCGGCCCCAGCGCGTCGACGCCCTTAGCCTTCTTCGCACTCGTGGACGGGAGGAGCCTGTCCAACTGCGCGAGCTCGATGGGCGGCAACGGCTCCTTTTGAGCGACACTCCTGACCTTCTCAACTCCCTGCAGCAGCATGTCCACCGTCGGGGTCGCCCCAGATCGCCTCCCACTCGTCCGCGCGCCTGTCCATGATGGCCGTGGGGTCGGCGACGACGGTGGCCTTGTAGACGTGCTCGTCCTTCGGGATCTGCACCGCGTCGCCCTGCTGCTTGACGTGCTTGTGGAGAATGCCTGGGGCCTGCTTCCACATCTTGGTGGCCCACTGCTGGAAAACCCTCCTCGACTTCCCCAGGCTGGCTCCTACGGCACGGGCTCGGAACCTATCCGCCATCTCGCATATGGTCGGCATGTCATCATCTGGCTGCTCAGGAAGGAGCTTGACCGCCGCCAGCCGGGTGAGGAGGAGGAGGAGGAGGAGGAGGAGGAGGAGGAGGAGGAGGAGAAGGAGGAGAAGGATGAGGAGGAGGGGAGAAGGAGGAGGAGGAGGAGCAGGAGGAGAAGGAGGAGGAAGAGGAGGAGGAGGAGGAGAAGGAGGGAGAAGATGATGATGATGAGGAGGAGGATGAGGAGGAGAGGAGGAGGGAGGAGGAGGAGGGGGCGGAGGAGGAGGGGGAGGAGGATGAGAAGGAGGGCAAAGAGGAGAAGGAGGAGGGGGAGGGGGGGAGGGAGGAGGAGGAGGAGGAGGAGGGAGGAGGCGAGGATGATGCTGCTGCTGATGATGATGAGGAGGAGGAAGAGGAGGAGGGGGAGGCGCAGGGAGCAGGAGAAGAGGAGGGAGGGGGGCGGAGGAGGAGGAAGAAGAGGAGGGAGGAGAAGGAGGAGGACGAGGAGGAGGAGGAGGAGAAGGGGATAAGGATGAGGAGGAGGGGAGGAGGAGGTGGAGGAGGAGGGAGGAGGAGGAGGAGGAGGAGGAGGAGGGAGGAGGAGGAGGAGGAGAAGGAGGAGGAGGAGGAGTAGGGGAGGAGGAGGAGGAGGAGGGGGAGGAGCAAGAGAAGGAGGCAGAGGAGCCACGACGCGGAAGGAGGAGGGGGCGGGAGGGATGGTATCATTGCCAGGGAGGAAACTGCTCGCCACATCGAACATCTAGGAGGGGGAGAAGAAGGACGCGGAGGAGGCGGAGGGGGCGGAGGCGGCGGAGGAGGCGGCGGGGGAAGGGGCGGAGGGGGGGAGGCGAGTGGGAGGGAAGGGGAGGGGAGGAGGAGGAGGAGGGGGAGGGGAAGGGGGAGGGCGAAGGGGGAGGAGGGCCCATGATCGTGGTGTGGCTTCGTCCGACGCTGCGGCTTATACTGCTGGGGGGTGGCCCCGAGACATCAGCCGTCTCGCTTTTCCGAAACGCGGGCCCCTGACCTCTCGACCACTTCCCTGGGACCTGCTCTTCGCCCCGAGCCGTCTTTGGCCGGCCCCGAGGCCCCGGAAGGGCCCCGAGAAGCCAACAAAACGATGGAGAAACTTCGTCTGGATGTTTGGGAGAAGGCGGATGTCCGGGGCTCACGCGGCCCGAGGACCCCCCAGCATGGCGCGCGCGCGGCGCGGGCGAGGCCTCGCCCCAGGCGGCAGCGGGGCGGCCGGGCGGCCCGCGGGGAGGTGCGCCAGGGGCCGGCGGAGCGGGCAGCTTGCTGGGGCCGGGCGCGGGCGCGGCTCCTGCGGCCACCGAGGGGGGTCACGGCCCGCTCCGTCTCGTGGGTTCTCATAGCGACGGCCGCTGGAGTCCATCAGCCCCGTGGGGCTCCCAGAGCGACGCTGTTCGGCGGCCATGGGTCGGCTACATGTGAGAGCGACCCTGTGCAAGAGCGACCTTTGGTGCGCGGCTTGCCGCCCGCTGCGCGCGGTGCGACTGCAGCGGCCTGCGTTCTTGGGCTGGGCCCCGCAGCGCCTCCCCCGAATACCGCGCACCCAAAGTCACCCTGGCGAAGGATCACCCTTACGTGCAGCCGAATCGAGGGGCCAAGAAACCTCCCAGAGCGCCCCCACACACTCCGACAAGGCAAATCAGATCGTCGAAACACCTCACCAAGCATCCAGCGCTCCAATTCGGACAGAACTTACCTACGGCTGGCTTTTCATCCCGAGCCGTTTCCTGACGGTCCCAGGGCCCGTGGAGGGCCCCCGCATGCCGAAACTGCCCCCTCAACTCGGCCGCTCAAATTTGCTCGAAACCTAAGATCGATGGGTTGTTTTCTCAACTCGTACTCTGTCTTTGTTTAAGAACGATGTATGTGTGTATGTATGAATGTCTGTATTGCATGCGTGCATGTATATATGTATGTGAGCCTGCCTACGTCTGTATGTCTGTTTGTATGTGTATATATATATAGATTATTCGATTTCCCGCGCAATGCTTGCACTTAGAGTTTCCGAGTTCTGTTGTTTAAAGACCTGGGCCGTGTCTTCGTTCTGGCGGCTATGGGGCCGCCCCGCTATGTGGCCACCGTCGCCGCCGCGTCGCCGCCCTAGATTGCACATCGTCGATCACCGTTCCTTCTCAATATGAGTTCATATCACTCCAGCCAGATTCCAAGCGACCCCCCACCACCCTCTGCAAAAACTGTGTGCGCGAACACTCGTTTATCAAGCATCATCAGTTTCAACAAAACGGACGAAGTGCACACGCACGTGTCGCCGCGCGCATGCCGACATTAGTCAAGCACTTTGGCTTCCAAGAAGAATCCACATCGAATGTCCAGGAAACGTATAAACATGTAACATACACTTCGTGAAATCATGTTGCGAGTGCGCGCGGGCACGGGTTCTCAACTCGACCTCGGCGTTGTCTGGAAGGGCGAACGCGCCGGGAATGCCAGGGTTCGGGGCCCTCTTGCACGCCGCGCCTGGCGACAGCCAGCACATGTGCCACATCGCCGGCCAAGGCCTGCCCAGCTTGTTGGAGGTCGAGCGGAATCTCGGCCAGTACCCGCGAGGAAACAGCTCAATGTTTCGTCCACGTGGCCACCGTCGGGCTCCGACGACGGCGAAGCACCCGACGTTGGGGATATATTCCCGTGGCAGTGCTGCGCAAAGGCCTCGCGCAACGACGGGCGCTTGGTACAGCGGAGGCCCATGCCAAGAAGCACCCCGCATGCCTCCAGGGTGCACTGGTTTTCTTTGGTTTCGAGGGCTCTCCGTTGAAAAGCGCGGCGTCTCCGCGACAAAAATCAATGGACGTCCCGGGGTCTCAGGGTTGGGTTTGTTGTCGAAGGTTTCTTCTGGTCGAGCACCTACCGTATTGTCATTGTGCGCCAAGCGAGTTCGACATCTGCGTGACCCCAGTAGCTTCAACTGGCCAATCGGGAGCACTCGGGCGCACTGACACCTTTCAAGGCCACGGAGCTGCGGGCTCCAGGCTGCTTTGTCGACGTGATGGTCCTGCTCGGCCGCAAATGATGGTTTCATGATGTTACGTCCGACCCATCATTGTCCGACGCACAGGAGTTATTGAAGGGGAGCTGGAACACACAAATAAATACACACACATAAAACAAATCCCCATATTTTCTCATATTTTCTGGGTTTTTGTCTTCCCCCCACTTCCCATATTTTCCCATATTTTCTGGGGAATGGAGGATTCATTGTGTCTGTGTGTTTCTTTTCCTCCTGAGTTATTCAGGGCGCAAGCTATGAGTAGCGATGAAAGATGCTCTCAATATCGCCTGATACTGAGGGGACCGGTCGCGACGTGCAATCGACAGGCTCGGCCAAGCGAACTGCCGGGTTGATTTTTCGGAGTGGCAGCATCTCGAAGTCTACACGACTGGCACCATGGTTGCCTGAAAGGAAAAAGGAAACACATACGTCTACTGATCTCGGGGATAAGACATGCGCAACGTACTGGAAACCACACATCAGCTCAAGTGGAACATCCTGAATTGGTGCATTCCGAAACTCTAAGCTTCGCGACTGGTCTAGTCCGTTGATTATGCGGTGGTGGACCAGGCCACTGGGGTCATATAGCTTGCCATCGCAGTTCAGATCCGATTGCGGCCTTCAGAGGGTGGGAGGGAATCTTGAAGGAAGCTATGACACCCTGTGCGTCCCTTCTCTCACCTCTCTTTGGGACCCTTCCAGATAGTGGTGCTAGTCGATAACACTCAACCCGTCTGAAGACAAGACCGAACAATGTCATACACAATGGCAGCCGTGACAAACACACACAGTTTACCCCTCCTCGCCGATCCTGACCTGCCTTGCGGCGCCACGGCGCTCGACTCTGCTGTTGCATCCACCTGCTGTGCAGAGCACGGAGGAGAAAGGGGACAACACTCAGGATGAGGCACTGCGTCTGACGAGGTGGACCGACAAGGGCAGCGAAGGACACAGGGAGCGTGCGATCTCACGGCGCGGGCAACGGGCCGCCGATCCAACACTGCGCAACGCTGAACGAAACAGCAACTGCTCCCTGGGCGGGAACATGCACTCTGCTTCGCGCGCGGGCTGCCACTGCCAGGAGCCCAGAACTGCCGGACGAGGAGGAGGAGGAGGAGGAGGAGGAGGAGGAGGGGGAGGAGGAGGAGGAGGAGGAGGAGGCGGAGGAGGAGGAGGAGGAAGAGGAGGAGGAGGAGGAGGAGGAAGAGGAGGAGGAGGACCCAGTTGGCGTGACAAGCAACAAACACCGCCGCCCTGCCTCGCTGCCCGTCGCGCTCCCGATGCCCGGCCAAACGGGGAGGGGGGCAAGCGCCTCTGCACGTGCCTGACGGCAGAGACGGATCGGCGCGGCCCGCGCGAACACAATCATTGTCACCACGGCAGACGGGAAGACTCCAGGGGCACCCCCCTGCTCCCCCCGAACTCAGGAGTTGCCACGTGTGGGGGGGGGAGACCGCGGACGACCTTGCAGGTCATCGGGTCCGCCGCCAACGTTGGCCACTGGAGCAATATGGGGGGGGAAGGGGGGAGTGAGCATTACCGCATGAATGCGGCATGTGGGCTCGTCGTTTTTGTTGTTGTTGTTGTTGTTGTTGTTGTTGTTGTTGTTGTTGTTGTTGTTGTTTTTCCGGAGACCTGCACGATGAAGGGAAGAGAATTCGCCATCGACCCGAATCTTCGGAGGTCCGCGCGGGGGTTGCGCGCCAGGAGCGGCGCCCGGAGGCGCCGCCAGGGGGCCCCGCTGGGAGCCAAGAGAAACCTGCGCGGGCCCCCAGAAATCGACCTGCTGAGCATCATGTACTCCAGATTTCGTTTAAAAAAAAGAGGGGGTCTGGACCCTCCAAGACAAGCCATTTGAGACCCCCCCCCCGGTAGGAGAACCCTCCAAAACATCGTCCCCGGACCCCCCAAGGCCCTCCAAGATAGCCTGGAAGAGACCCCCCCCCCGAAATGAGACCCCCCTCCCTTTATTACGAAATCTGGAATAGCCGATCCCTATCCTCACTGACGTGGCCTTGGCCCCAATGGCCGATTTACCCTCCCAGATGGGGATACAGGCCGTTCCCTTCGGGATTTTCGAGGAGCCGGTCCCAAACTGAAGTGGAAGTTTGGTGGTGCTGAGATACAATGGCCCGGTCGGGACGGGGACAAACGAAACGATGCTGACGGTACCCCTCCTACTGCTTACCCCCCCCTCATGTTGCCCCTCCTAGACATCTGGCGCTCCATTTTTTACGTTGTGTGGATCCCCGGAGGTATGGACCACTTCCCTAGTGCTGGCTTGCCGTCCCGAGTCGTTTTTGACGGTCCTGGGGCCCAGTGAGGGCCCCCCGATACTCCAAAATTGCAAAAAAGCGGCCGACCCAATTTTCCAGAGCCTCGGATCTCTGGGACCGTTCACTCAGCTCGCCTTGCCCCTGATCTGCGCTGGGAGCCTCGGATCTCTGGTTCACTTCTCCCCTCGGCGCGCCGTCGAATTCGGTTTTCGGGCCGTAACTCTGGGGATCCCGGGAACGCTCTCGGCGCAGCGCATCTGTTGGAACGCACCCCCAAGGCTGGGAAACCGCCGAGGACCGACGAACACGCCAGAACACCGCGAAGCTCCGACCCGAAACGCCCAACCTTCCCCCCCTCGCGCTGCCCCTCATAGATCAAACGACACTGAGCACTACCGACGAGCCCTCGCGCGTGCCGAGGAGCGCCCCGCTCGACGCGATCTCTCATGTGGCAGCGGCGGCACGAACCGCAGGTCGGCGGCGCCGTCGGCCTCTCTCTCGCTCGGGGGTTGCGGAAGGGTGCCCTTTGGCCCAAGGTGCTCCCGGCTTTTCGCTCCATGTTGGAGCCCCTGGGGTCCCCTGCGCCAGATATGGCAGGAAGGCCGGATGGCATGCCGCGCCCGCGGCCTATGCTTAGCACGCTTGCCGTTTCACCCAATTGCCTAGTACGTCTCACAGCTTCTGCCAACGCACCTATGTTGTGCATGGCGTCCGTCTGCCTGTCTGTCTGGGGTCCCCCTGGGCCTCGTGAGGGGTCCTCTGGAGGGCGTGGGGGCCTCCTTTAGGAAGGCACCAACTATACACCAACACCGATCCTGGCCAGGATCACCCTGGGCCCAGGATCCGTGTATGCGCCCTCCCGCCTTGCGCAAGAAGGCATATATACACCGATCCTGGGCCCAGGGTGACCCTGGGCCAGGATCGGTGTTGGTGTATAGTTGGTGCCCTCCGATCCTTGGAACTCCTGGGGGGCACCCTGGGCCGAGGACACTCCCTGGCGAGCGCCCGGCTCGTGGCCGCGGCCCCCTGCGCCGCCTGCGGAGGCGGCAGTGGCGCTCGGGTCCGGGGCGGCTGCCGCTTCGCTTGCCGAGACGAGATCCGCAGGCCCCTGCATTGGAGTTCCAATGCGGATCGGGTGTGTTACGTTCGTGCTTTTTTTGGTGGTCTATCCGTATTCGTATTCGTATTAGAACCTTTGTGCTTTTTTTGGGTGCTTTTTTGGGTGCTTTTTGTTGGTGCTTTTTTTGGTGTTCATTATTATTATTATTGTTGTTATTATTATCCTTATCCGTAATCGTATTAGAATTAGACATGTTCTGTATCTATGTGGTTATTATATATGTATGGAAGCCTGGCCTAGACAAGATGCTGGCGGGCTAGCGGCAAGCAGCGGGAACTGGCTAGCCGCAAACAGCAGCACACTCCCCGCACCAATCGTCCACCAATCGCCCCCCACTCACAGTTAATGGCCGCTAAGCGCCACACAAGAAACACCTTCAGTGGAATTCAAAGCTTCCAAAACGACAAACCTAAGATGTGCTGGGCTCGGATACTCGAGGGTCAGGCACGTGCTGGCGGCGGCATCCCTAAGTCAACAGAGCTTGCCTCCACACGGAAGGCACAATGGGCCACATGCCACGACATATCACATGCCATTCTCCGACGGACCACTTCCAAACTGTAGCTTGAACCCCCGTGCCCTGCAAACTGTCTTGCCAGAACACTCCCGCAAGTTTATTGCAGACACCGATTGCCCGCACCACTCACAGATACCTATTGGATCTTCGCCCGTATTGTGAGGCGACAGACCTGACCCGACATCCTTCAAGAACTCATTGGGGCACAGTGTTCATCCCAAGACGTGCTCTTGTTTCCTGCTGATACCCCTCACAAATGGATATTGCAAACGCTCGCGACGATAAATTTCGCTCCTCTATAACCATACCGCCAACGCCGAATATGCCACATACACCTTTCCAATACACCTGCGAACCTTTATTTCCGCACAACACGTACATACGCGCACAGATCACATAGCCATTGGATCACCAGGAGCTGCGTATCTCACATGGGATACCCAAGGGTGACAGATATTAGATTCGCGCATGTGCGAGTGATGCGCGTAGTGCTTTCTTGTTTGAATGTTGATGTGGGTGGCGATTCAAATTCGACGATTTCGGTATGATGCGAAGCTGTGGGATTTTCGGACGCGTTAGTTTGTAATACCAACGTCAAACTGGGCGGTCAGAGCACCAGACATACACACACGCACGTACACACACGTACGTGCTTCTCATCTTTCACGTCTGTACCCTCTCTGCGAGATTTCGTTGGTTTGGCGGAGAATTCCTGACATCTTGCATTCAGCTCCATCTTCTCTCTCGGGTACAGAAGTCTGGTGCTTCCCCTTTGCTTAGATGGAAGGTGCCTTTGGACTATCGCATGAGCTCTGCGATGTAAACTGTCCAACGAAGACCACCATTTTTCTTGGAACGCACGAGCCATGATCGGGAATGAGTCTACTTCAATTACGTCGGATGCAATTGTTCATGGCGCTGCTTTTGGTACGCGGACGTTTGTTTCCAGAGGCCCAATCATCATAGGGTCGTCTGTTCCATTCCCTTCCCCTTTCTCTCTTTCTTTCTCTCGCTCTTGCCCTCTCTCTATCTCTTCCTTCATCTCAGGGCATTCCCTTCACTGGGAAGAACGCTACCCATTACATGTTGCGGCCCCCTGGGGTGTGCTATGGGAAAACAGGATCCCATGTGACGGCCTTCTTGAGCCGCGGAAGAGCGCGTTGGATGTTACGCCCCCACTGGAGTCAGGTGAACGAGTGCTGTCACCTGTTGCTGTGTTCTGGGCAATCTCTGAAGGGCCGCCCTTCAACGTGCTGCGCTGTCACGGTGACAGAACTTGCCGCCAGTACATGGACATCATCGTGGCCCGCTGGCCTAGGCCAATATCTGCGATATCCACTGCAGCATGCTGATGGGCGGTGGCTTGGCCGATGCTGGGGGAGGGCGCGCCCGCGTGGCTCGTATTGGTCAGTGGAGCATTTGCGCTTTGCGACGGCCTCTCGCCATTGGGACGCTAAGTGGCTCAGGATCATGTCAACTCGGGAACACATTGCGGACTCGGCACACTGAGGAATCAGATGCAAGAGCGCCGCCGGAATCCGGATCGATCGAGGAACGCCCTTCGGCGACACCACGAATGACTATGTTCGATTGGCTGGACTTTTGTCCCGCAAGGTTGGCTGAGTCGTATGCGCCACGTATTCGCAGAAATATTGTTTCGGGGATCCCTCGCAGACTTTTACAATGGCTACTATGTCCTTACCGTTTGCTGCAGCTGCTGCTGCTCGCTAACGTCGCAACTCGCTAGTGTTCTTCCTTGTTGGGAAGACATGTGCCCATATGTTTCCGATCCTGCTGCCGACATGATATGATGCCACTGCTGCTGCTGGTGCTCGGAATTCGTGCTGCTGGTTCACGGTTTGCCATCGACTTAACACAGGTTTGCATATAGCTTCCGACGCAACAACTTTTGCGTTCGATTCGAATCCTCCTGCTTGCAAGCCATCGTTCCAAGATCAACGAACGTAAATCATGCCATGCGCTTGATATTTGCCGAACGGGTGTAGGGGCATCTGGCCATTTAGGCTTTCATGTGCTGCTGCAACCACTTTTGACTGCAAAGCTGCCAGAATTGTGTCTGAGGGTGTCATTACCGCTGCCATCATTGTTGAATTCGCCAGGTCTGTCACACTCATCCCAACTTGAGCTGTTCGTGCTGACAAGCTTTTTATGCATAATGCCTTTTGCACGCACGCGTACACTAGAAACAACATTATCACGCCCGAGATGGCAATACGACATATAACACGCACAAGCGAGTTACTTTTGCGCGTGAATGTACTGTTGACGCGCACGCACAACGTGATTGCGTGTTTCTTGCGTTCTCGATCACCTGGAGCCATCACTGCACTGTGCACCCGGGCGTTGCGTCAGCAGCGCGTATTAGCTTCTCCAGATCCAAGAGGCCATCGTCTGCTTGCTGGGCTGGAGGCGGATGCCCCCCGATCTCGATCAGCTTGTCCAGGGCCGTCCAGGGGTCGCCGTCGTCAACAGCCTCGAATCAAATTACGAAGTAATAGAGATCTCAAGCATGTGACATGAAACGATCAATGTGACAGCCAGAGACGGCCGTGGGGTGAGAACCAAAATCCCACCAACACTTTAGGGCGCGAATGGTTTAGAGTGTTTCCAACCCCCGTTCTTGCCCTTCGGGGCCGGGCTTATCACTGTTCCCTACAAACCCTACAAATAAACATCCCCTCCCCCAGGCGACCCGCAGCCAACCAGGACCAATGAGGCCCCCCCCCCCGCCACCCCTGTTACAAAACAATGTAACGTCCACTTTGGGGCAAACTTTTCGGTCATGATCGAGGGGGGGGGGCTACGTTTTTTTCCTCCTGGGCCCGGAACGACGGTTTAACGTCTTCAGCTAACGTGTATGAAAATAACCACAGCCTGATCCAATTCGTTTGCGCGGGTCCAAGTTTGGTTCTGGCTGGTGTTTCGGTGGGGCCGGTGTCTGCCCACACGGACCCGATCTTGGAGATTGTAAATCCGATGCCCGTGCTGTTTTTACTCACACGGATCCGATTCGAAGGATTGCAGAAAAATTATCCCGGCAAAGCAACCTAACAGCGATGTGTAGGAGCATATCTGGAAGCATTCCCCTTAAGATTCAGATGAGAATCCAGTTGTAGAATTGTGCTGTTCTCGCAGTCGTAGTCGCATTCGCGATGACAGTCGCAGTGGCAACGGCAGTCACAGTCAGCCTCAGCCTCAGCCTCAGCCTGCCTCAGCCTCAGCCTCAGCCTCAGCCTCAGCCTGCTTCAGCCTCAGCCTCAGTCTGCCTTCAGCCTCGGCTCAGCCTCAGCTGCCTCAGCCTCAGCCTGCATCAGCCTCAGCCTCAGCCTCAGCCTGCCTCAGCCTCAGCCTGCCTCAGCCTCAGCTCAGCCTCAGCCCCTCAGCCATTCAAAATGTGGCCCGGGAATGGAGTTCTGGGAACTCGAAGACACGAAGTGGCCTACAGTTGGCTCCGGGCATTCAAAATCATGCCCAGGAATGGAGTTCTGGGAACTCGAAGACCACGAAGTGGCCTACAGTTGGCTCCGGGCATCCAAAATGTGGCCCGGGAATGGAGTTCTGGGAACTCGAAGAGCACGAAGTGGCCTACAGTTGGCTCCGGGCATTCAAAATGTGGCCCGGGAATGGAGTTCTGGGAACTCGAAGACCACGAAGTGGCCTACAGTTGGCTCCGGGCATTCAAAATGTGGCCCGGGAATGGAGTTCTGGGAACTCGAAGACCACGAAGTGGCCTACAGTTGGCTCCGGGCATTCAGAATGTGGCCCGGGAATGGAGTTCTGGGAGGTCGAAGAGCACGAAGTGTGTGACTGTTGGCTTAAAACGACTTCTGCGGCACCCTGTCCGGCACCCGCCCAGACCCCCCTGTGGAGTCATCTGCTGCTCTCTTTTGACCCCACTAGAAACCTATCAGAACAAGCTGTTAGGTAAAAACCGAAGGATTGCAAAACAACCCTTCGTTTTTTTTTGCAATCCTTCGTTTTTTTTTTTGTTTTGCAATCCTCCGCTTTCAATTATAAGATCAAATGTAAGCGGGTAGCCGGAAGAAGTCGCAGCCCGCCCGTCTCAAGATTCTACAGGGGCGGGGGGGTAGTTATCAACTTCCCAGGATGGGTCCTGTGCTGTTTCGCGCACTCCCATCAACTCATCGCGCGCGGGCCCCACTCACCATGAGTACATATATATATATATATAGATATATATGGACAGCCCCCCCCAGCACCCACTCTACGCCTTCTCCCTCTTCCACGAAGCTGGAGAGGCATCCTCTTCTCATCATCCCTGCTCCTTTCCGTTCCTCTTCCCGAGTCACGTGTTGCAAGCGGAATGCTTTTTCTAACGCAACCTCAGAAGATGCAAGCGTCCGCTTCCCCCGCCTTCGGGAGAACAGGTGTAAGATATCAGCGGCAGCGCTAACAAGAACGATAAGCGAACCATCTGATTTCTCATGCATTCCAGGGATGCACAGGGATGCTAAGTGACGATCGCTGTGCAGGCTCAGGGATCCCAGGGATTCCAGGGATGCGAAGTCACGATCCCTGAGCAGGCTCAGGGACCCCAGGGATTCCAGGGATGCGAAGTCACGATCCCTGTGCAGGCTCAGGGATCCCAGGGATCCCAGGGATTCCTAACCCTCCAGCAAAACCGACCTGGGGATCCACCAGCGATCCCGCGCTCAGAATCCCTGGGATCCCTGAGCCTGCTCAGGGATCGCGACGTCGGTGGTCAGCAAACCATATGATTCTCAGGGATCCCAGGGATTCCAGGGATGCCAAGTCACGATCCCTGAGCAGGCTCAGGGATCCCAGGGATTCCAGGGATGCGACGTCACCATCCCTGTGCAGGCTCAGGGATCCCAGGGATCCCAGGGATTCCTGACCCTCCAGCAAAATCGGCCTGGCGACTTCGCAAAGATTTGGGGGGTTGGGAATCCCTGGGATCCCTGGGATCCCTGAGCCTGCACAGGGATCGTGACTTCGCATCCCTGGAATCCCTGGGATCCCTGAGCCTGCTCAGGGATCGTGACTTCGCATCCCTGGAATCCCTGGGATCCCTGAGAAATCATATGGTTTGCTGACAACCGACGTCGCGATCCCTGTGCGGGCTCAAGGATCCCAGGGATTCTGAGCGCGGGATCGCTGGTGGATCCCCAGGTCGGTTTTGCTGGAGGGTTAAGGATCCCTGGGATCCCTGGGATCTCTGAGCCTGCACAGGGATCGTGACTTCGCATCCCTGGAACCTCTGGGATCCCTGAGCCTGCTCAGGGATCGTGACTTGGCATCCCTGGAATTCCTGGGATCCCTGAGACATCATATGGTTTGCTGACAACCGACGTCGCGATCCCTGTGCAGGCTCAGGGATCCCAGGGCCTGGGCCCACGCTCCTCGAAGCGACTCGCAGCGTTCGCTCGCGCCAGGCACAGCGCACTCAGGAGCCGTGCTCCTTAGTCCACGACTCGCGCAACATGGTGCCCGTTTCCTTCCACAAGTCCTTGCCGCGGTTCCAGTGCGCCCACTGGAAGCTGCGGATCTTGTGCTTCAAGTGGGCCGAGCCGACGGCCTTGCTCTTGCCGACGAAACGGCGAAGCTCGCGCCAGATGCCGTCGATGATCTGCGTCCCCGTCTTGACCCAGATCCTCTTCTTCTTGCCAGAATTCTGCGAGCCGGGGACGTCGTGATAGCGTTTCTGGCTGTGCGACGGTTTCAACCACACCCATTTGCCCTTCACCTTGGCCCGCTTCTTCTGGTGGATGACCCAGTCATGGGTAACCCCGTCCTCCTTGAGCTTGTGCGAGCGAGCCCCATCTGTGTGGAAAATCACCTTCTTGTTCTTCAGCCACTTCTTGGAGAGCGGCGCCCTATCCGCCTTGCGGATGGGCCCAGGGCCAGGCGCCCGCCGCTTGGTCTTCTTTGGCTTGAGACGGAAAAGCACGAGCGACTCGGGCGCGCCACGCTGCACGATGCCGCCCCACTGCTCCCAAACGATGGGGCTCACAGTGCGGGGCCCCGCAGAAGGGTCCTCCATCTTCCCCAAGTCGACTTCGTCTGCCTCGACGTCGGCCCACTCGACGCCCTTGCCGAACTCGATCTTGCGCTCGTTCGCATGCACGTGCGCGGCGCGCGCCGTGTGCAGAGAGGTGTAGATATTTTCGACGGCCTTGTGGTTCTTCTTCGCGAGGAGGCGCGTGGTCGCTTGCGTGCAGCCTGCGACCGCGCAGAAGAGGATTGCTGACTGGTTTGACAGGGGCAAGAACGATTGGCCCGTTCCTGTGTTGAACATAGGGTGAAATGAATGTGGCGAGACGTGGCGGGTGCACCAATTTCGGCTGCAACGGTGCCCCCAACCGCCCTTCTTCTCCCCGTGGTCCTTGAGTGGCCCTAAGACGCCCTCGCCACAGTGCGGGCAAGTCGAGCCCTCCCACTTGGGCAAGATCATCTCCCTCCGCAACTTATCGATCACGAACTTCTCCGAGCGGTTGATGAAGTCCTTGATGCAGGTCGTCCAAGCAGTCCTGTCCATGCGTCCCCTCGCAATGGCCGCGTGGCCATGCCGCATGTAAGGCGCGTTTCTGGGTGGAGCGATCTTCTTGCGTATGGTCTTCTTGACGGCGCGGCCCTTCGCCTTCGCCTTCGCGGCCTTCATCGGCGCCTTCATGGCCTTCCTGCGAGAGCGCGGCGGCGCCATGGCGGCGCGGGCCTTGCCCCGCTTGGGAGCGGGGAAGAACCTCGGCATTGCTCGCGGGCGAGCGGGCGGGGGGAGCGCGCCTCGGCCGCGCGTCCTGGCTCGTTTGCTGAACGCTGCCGAAGCGAACGCCTGCCCCTCTGCGCCGTGGAAGGGCAGGGAGAGCCGTGCGCGCATTGCATCACTCTTTGACTCTCCCCCACTGGCAGCGCGGCGTGCATCGGCACCTGGTTAAAAAAGTTGCAAGCGTGGGCGACGGGGGCCGAGCAGCGCGGCTGGCAAACGTCTCACCTGGAGCGAACGAACGCGCCCGCGCCCGCGGCCGCAAGCGCGTCTACGCTCGAGAAGCTTGCGCGCACAGCCCGCGCCCCCCCTGGTCTAGCGCTCAGTCGGCCTCGACAATCGCGCCGCCCATGTCCGCGCCGCTTCCCGCTGCCGGCGCAGGCGCCAGCCTCGCCTCCTCCTCTAGCAAGCGCTCGAGATCACTCCAGAGACATGTCATGCTTCTTCCTCTGGGACGGCGACGGACTGCAGAGGTCGATGCAGCCGTTGTTGCCTGGCGGGAGCTTGAGATCCTTCCAAACGTCAGGCTCGATCTTGATGCGCTTGCTCGGCGCCGCCAGCGGCGTGCGCGGCGCAGACTGGGCGCCATCGGGGGCCTGGTCAACCCGCGCGGCCCCCCCCTCGTCGACAAGGCCGAAGAAGTCACCCTCGCCGAAATCATCGGGAGGATTGGGCGGCTGCTCACCCACCGAAGGCGCGGCCGCGGCCGCGGCCGCAGCCTCGCCGTCCCC